AAACACTTGGCTAGTTAAAAGTAGTTTGCGGCATGTGAAGAGGGTTACGTTGAAGCACATTCAAGTTAAATAAAAAGTGTTCGATCTTAATAGTTCAAACTTTTTAGATAAGGTTTACACAATTCAACAAAAGCAACATACAACTAGGGGAAGGACAAGAACAAAACCATATTAGGTAACAGACATACCAGTAACAAGCTTAACACCACCAATATCGCACCCAGGCACAACCCAGTGGACATTGCCTCCACAACTGAATAGAGATCCAAGAGGTTCTTTGCAAGCTTCTGTTTCTTTTGAACATTCTACCAGTATCACTATCGCTGATATTGGAGTAGAATCTGATTCACTATGGGGCTCGGAAACATCGGGCAAAAATAGCGCAATCGCTTGTTATCTATATTATCAGAAGATATCTCCACTTATGATGCTTGTATAAAGGAAAATGATTTCTTCAATAATTGTTTTCTGGAAAAATAGTTTCTAGTGTTTTGGGTGGGGAGAAGAAAATAACTTTCTGAAAAACTATTGTTAGAGATTTGATAACAATGCCACAAAAACTAAAGTAGTGTTTGCTTTAAAATATTTGATTTGTGATTTGTTGCGTTGTTGTTTTTAAAATGACTATAATATCTAAGTATTGACCGGAGAAAATAAAACTAAAAGTTGAGATACTTGTAAAGGAAAAGTGATTTTTGGCCCAAGAAAATGTGTTGACATAACCAAACAACCTTTTAGAGAAAAAGTTTGGCTTTCAGCCGTTTTAATTAATGAACACTACACTTGAAAAAATACCTTGTTGGGAACTTAAACAAATGATGAGTATGGAAGCAGGTACATCATGTCATAGAAATCATCAGGAATTTGATATCAAAAAATTTCCTTGAGCGGTAGCTATCCTACAAAGAAAAAACCAACACGTTTAGTGTTGCTTGTTAAAACGAGAGGCCAATGTATTCTTTCTTATTAAAGCAAAAAGCCTAACCATACATTGAGGTTATAGAACAATCTTGATTTTCTTTACAAGGCAACCAAGAGGATTATCATCCTTGATTTCAGAAAAGAATACACGGTTTGTTGTCGATTAAACTGCGTCATTGAGGCTTTAATTACCAATGAAAGAACAAAGTTAAGAAGCATTTTAAACATCACAAAGATAAGAAACTAGCTTCATTAAGTTAAGAATTTCTTACCAGTATCTTTGGTCTGTAAAACCATTGAGCAGTAAAAATACCTGCATACCATCAACAGCTTGAAAAATTCAACAATTCTTGCATATTATAATCATCTTCATCGTTGAAGCCTATAAAAATTAAAAAGGCAAATAATGACTAAATCTATATTTATGGATCCAATAAAATGATGCATATGCTATAATTAGAAAGAATATTAGGTAAGGTTGATGCATTCTATTAAGGTGTTTTCCTACTTAAGGTATATGTGTAAACGTAACTTACAAAGCTTGGGGTTTGGTGGTTGTTACGTGTCGTTTCATTAATGTATCGTATTTATTGTATATATTTACGTATCGTTTGATGAATACAATGTTTGGATAGATTGTTATCGTTGCTGTGTTCATTATATTCATGTACCAGCAATATGAAGATAAATGTAGCAATTATTATAAAGAAAAATTATTATACAGGATAAATTTATTATATAAAAAGGCAGGGTAAATGAAAATTAAAAATAACTTAATAATAAGTGAAAGGCGAGATGAGATAAAAAGAAAGGATAACGATGCAACCAACCAAATTGGACGTTACATAAAGTGGCACATTTAGTCGTTTACGTAACGACGGATTTACAATACGAACAATAAAATTTTAAAGTAAAACCAAAACAAACATCGCTATTAAATACAATACATACGATAACAATTAAGAAACGACCCATCCAAACGAGCTGTTAATCCGAAGGTTCAAGGGATAATCAAGCAACTTTTCTGTTCTTCCTTCTTTTCACAAACAAAGTAGTGAAGGAAAAAAACCTCTTAACCAAAATGGTATAAGAAAGTCAATTAGAATCTAGAAACTCCAAACGAAATAACAAAATGGTATCTAGTACAGTACAATAAATCTTAAAGGTGTCAATAATTCCAACTGAAAGCTAACATACTTAAGCATTGTGTATTTACTGTACATAGGCATCATCCCCGAGATTGAAATCTGACCATCATACCCACTCGCCTGGGTAAAAATGAACTTAGCCTGGATTAATTGGGCGGCATATCTTTGGCTGGACATATTCAAAACATAATAACATAAGGAACATATTGATACCAACTTAAACTAGATGAAGCCAAAGGACAGAAGGCAAAAATTATTGTGCAATATGAACAACTTTAATGTAGCCTTTCCAAAACTTACTCATTTAAGGTTTCATAGGTTACCATTTGCTTTCACTCTATCCTGCTCATTGTAAAAATAAAAAAAATATATTACATAAATGTTAAATACCAGCTAAAAGAAACAAGAAACAATATTACTACTAAAAGACCTCATGGACTGCTAAACAGTACGCATTTCTCATAAGGTTTTCTTAATCAATGTATTATAATGCTAACTATTTCTCAAACAGTAAATCATATGAAAAACTCAAAATAATGCAACAATCAAGCAAAGAAAACCTTGTGATTAATGTAGCGATGCAGGCCATTTCTGCATTAAGCGCCTCTAACCGAAATCGGATCACAGAAAACGCACACTCCTGATTCGTCATCGCTTGCGCAGCTCTTCTTCTCACCTTTTGAGCAGACGACGATTTTTCGTTCGAGCTCTCGCACTCTGTTTCTCACTTCTACGCTTCATCTTCTACGAAATCACACTCAAAACTGTAGAGTAGAAGGAAACCGCTTCACTACTGTATTCCGGCTTTTCCACCGCACGTGCCTTGACTTCTTATTCGTCACGCCGCCGCCGTAGAAGCCTTCGGTGTAGAAGCCTCCGTTTGCTCGGCATTGTGCCAAAAAGGAAAAGGGGTAGGGGTTGGAGAGTGTTGAGAGTTTAGAGAAAGTGTTAAGTGGATATATATAGATGGAGAGTTTATTGGGACTTAGGGAAATTTTTTTTGAGCGTCGTCATGGGAAAGCGGGAACCTCCGGAATTATAGGCATTTTTCGGAAGTGGATTGGAATTTTTGTGGGTTCACGTCCGGTTAGTAGATTGGGTGTGTTGTGTTATTGATGGTTATATTTGTTCGAAAATATATTTATTTATAAAATATTGCAATTGATTTTCTGATAGTAATTTGGTTTGTATAGATTCAAAAAAAAAAATATGGAAAACTTATTCCATCACTTTTCGGTAAAATCATTTTCCTTCAACATTGTCTTTACTCATTACCTAATATTCTCTATTTCCAACTTTCACACAAACATTAAAACATTAGTATCAATCTTTAATACTAAAATTTTCATCAAAACATATTTGATTTGCTAAATATATACATCTATTCTTGAACAATATTGTTAATAATAGAAATTTTATTTTATGGTGAAATGTCCATATTTAGAGAGATTCTAGGTTAATTACTTGGTGGCGTAAGTTAACACTCTCCCTATAAATAGAGGGTTCATCCATTTGTAATTCATCCCAAATCAATTAAGAATTCTCTCTCTACTTTCTCTGCAATATTGTTTTATTCTTTTATTATTTTATAACACGTTATCAGCACGAGACTCTACCGTCTCAAGAAGATTAAGAAACATGTTTTTTTGTTTTTCAATATCCAGTTGCGCTATGCTGAAAGGTTGTGTATGTAAGTCAGTAGTGTTTCGTTGTCTTCACTTACCTCTTAGAGAAGAATTAGCAAACAATTGATCAAGACTTAGAAGACTTTTCACTGTGAATCAAAATTAGAAAAAGGCAACAGTCTTTATTCAATGGATCAAACAAATGTCGATATCTCTCCAGGTAAACTTGGATCAAAGTTCAATTGGAAAAGTATTTGTTTAATTGATTCGTGGACGACACATACAATATTCAAAGAGAAGAAATATTTCCTCTCATTTAAGTACGTGTAAAGCAGGATTTACTACAATTTCTGGTAGTAGTAATTTAATTGAAGCTCTGGAAGAGCTACTATAACTCTGCCTAAGGGAACAATACTTATCATAGAGAATGCAATGTTCTCCTCCAAGTCCAAGAGGAACTTGTTGAGTTTTAAAGATATCCGTCGAAAATGGATATCATATTGAGACATAGATGAGAATAATCTTGGAATATCTCATCATTACCAAAAATGTCTCTGCCCAGAAAAGGGCTATTGAGAAGATTCCCATCTTTGTCTTGTGGCCTGTATTGGACAAGAATTTAGTGC